AGAGAGGAACCAAGGGGAACGGATGGGCGGGGACTGGAATGGGAGATGAGAGAGGAGGACGGAGGAGGGGGGGGGGGGGCAGGGAGAAAAAGGAGATCAAGTAAGAAACAATAGGTGGAGACGGAGGTGGAAAGGTGAGAAAGGAGGAAGAAGAAGAAAAAAGAAGAAGCAGAGAAGAGGAGGAAGAGGAGGAGGAGGAGGAGGAGGAGGAGGAGGAGAAACAAGAGGACGAAGAGGAGGAGGGGGAGGAGGAGAAGAAGGATGAGGATGAGAATGAGGATGAGGATGAGGAGAATATAATAAGAAAAGAGAAGAAGAAGAAGAAGAAGAAATAATAAAAAAAATAAAAACAAGGAAACAAAAATAACCAGAAGCAGCAGCAGGATTTACAAACACACACACAAAAAAAAAATCTATAACAAAAAAAAACTCTATATATCGACAACGGAAAACCGCGCAGAACGATAAAAAGATCCGCTCGATTCCTCCGCCACTTGCAATAATCTCGAGCATTCGGGTGTGCGCTTCTCCCCCCCCCCACGACCCGCCCACCGTCACGAAGGAAGAGGAGAGGGGAGGTACAGGAAGAAGAGGAAGAGGAAGAAAGCGAAAAGAAAGATGGGGGAAGGAGGAAGAGGAGAGCGGAGGAAGAGGAGAGCGGAGGAGAAAGAGAAGGAAGAGGAAGAGAAAAAAGAAGGAGAAAGAATAGGGGGAGGAAGAGGAGGAGAAAAAGGGAAGGGAAGAGAGTGAGAGGAGAAGGGAGGTAAAATGGGAGAAGGAGAACGGAAAAGAGACACAGAATGGCAGAAGGGAGGGAGAAAAAGGAGACGGAATGAAGAGAGATAAGGAGATGGAAGGAAGAGGTGAAGAACACATAGGAGGAAAGAGGAAGGCAGAGGAGGTAGAAATAAAATTTAGGAATAATAAAATAAATAGAATAATAACACCAATAACAATATAAATAATAAAACATCAACACCATGTATGACACCTCTCGCTCGACCCCCCCTCCCCTATCCCCACCACCTTCCCTTCCCTCCCTCCTTCCCCCTCAACCCCCCCATCCCCCCATCCCCC